GTAGTGCGTGTGTTAGTGTAGGGGAGTGCACAGTTATTTGCCTCTCTCTCCTACGTAACGTTGGTTACAGTCAAGGCAGGGAATTGTGTACACCACCCCTGATTAGTCGTGTGGTTCTACGTGGTGCTCACCGTTGAACAAAGTCGATCGCAGGGTTGTAGGTTTGCGGGCAAAGGTAATACCCAGAGGGTGAAGGATGCGATCGACGGCTTCTGATACCCCAAATATATATGGTAGTTTTGTTTTCTTCTCTTCATCCTTCGGTTTTCTTTTCCCCCTAAGGCATGATTGGACGAAACTTTCGGGATATCCATATGTACGGAACTGATGAAACATGCATTCGTTCTTTATGCCGGGTTTTATCTGTGCTACACTGTGTGTCCGCATGGCGCAATAAAATGTACAACCAGGTTCTTAGGTGACACATGGGATGATTGCTGTCTTAGTTCAGCACTTGATCGGCTGTGTTTCCTATACACACTGGTTTCCGTATGATGGGGGCGTCCTAAAGAGGGAGCTTCGCATCGTTTTCCCTCCTCGCGGGTGAATGCTATCCGTGGTATAAACTTGTTTAGGTCATCATGGAATCGATCGATAGCACCATATAGGTGTCGTCCAAATATCGAATCCAAAGAGAAGGGCGGTATTCTTCAAATGCCTTGGCTTCAAATTGTTTCATCACCACATCTGTCGTATATATATATAACCCACCTACAAAACATGAACTCCTAGTATTGATTCTTCAATGAACGGACTCTGAAAGAGCTATCTATCCAAAAGTCGCCCGCTGTTGCAAATAAGGTTATTGTGACGAAATATACATCCTGCGTACAAGTATATAAATGAACTGGCAAAAATTACCGAATAAGCACGCATGACGAGCGGCAAGGACCGCGAAACCGGTCGTGTGCTTCCAGGGAATTATTTTTTAGTCAATCATATACTACTTATTATGAAATATACATATATACTGTACGGTGAGCCAAAGGGTTCATTTTCTTTTTCATCCTCGAAGTGCATCCGATCCCTGTGTAGTTTACATATTCGCACTTACCTTGTATTCTTCGTGTTCTTAGTAGAGCTCAGGAATTTTCGCTGTATGATTATGGTAGTAATTGGAAGCATGGACCAGTTACGAAATTTCACTCACTGTTTGTAATGATAAAGAAGAAGAGATTGAGTAATAGATGTGGTTTGTATTTCTTCGGCTAATATTTTCATCATGCACATCATGGTTCCAGCTCACTAGTTCAGATCTTTCGAATCATGTCAAATGGAAGTGTCTAAATTTAGTGTACACCAACAGGGGCATGTGAATACCTATAGTGTCGGTCGGCGGGTTGAATCTTCCAAATTGAAATGGGTGAACATCAAATGCTCGCACATAAAACCCCATAACTTTCTGACCACAATCAACCCACTTAGGCCTGAATGAGATCAGGCCATTATGGAAAATGTGCGTTACTCCAGAGATATATACAGATAATATCCGTGCTGTACCTGAGCAATAAACTTCCCTACCATCATGACTGTGAATTCACATTTGGTGTATAAGCGTGTGCGTGT